ATAAGGCGGGTGTGTACAAGATTCCCTACGAGAACCAGCTTTTAGGAATTAAGAAAGAATATGTAGGGGTTACAACTAGGAACCTAGGTTTAAGGATCAAAGAACACAAATATGATATCAGAAAAGGTTCTAATGCGACAGTTTTGGCCCAGATGGCGCAGGCAGAAGGTTCATTGATACATTGGGATAAAGCCGAAATCCTGAAACAGATACACTCGCCGGCATTGGCAAGAACAGCTGAAAAGATAGAAATCTATAGAAGCAAACTTGAAGAAAAATGTATTAACGCAAGAGATGCGGAGGGTCTTCCTTCCGCTTGGAAGTTTGCGGTTAAAAGCTTAAAAAAAGCGCAGGAAATTTAGTATGAAATAATAAGCTCTATATAGTTAGGCAGACGATATTATTATTTAGTAATGATATTATGTTATTTATTTTGAATATTTGTATTATTTACAAGTATTATTTATTTTTATGTTATCGGTTTATTTGTATTTTTGAATATTTAAACGAGTAGTTCTATTTATGAAGTGTTCTATTTAGCCTGAGGATGATCCAATGAATGGATCGAAAACGTTTGTTTTAATTAAAAATAATCTCTCAGCGAAAAATAAGGTGTTGGATTACATATTTAATTGTTTTCTGCTGGGTATAGTTGTGGTTTATATTCTGGACTAACTTTATTAATTACTAAAGTATCACTAAAACATTATCAATTGTTGATTGATCATGGAAATATTATTATTATTATTATTTTTTAATCTCTCATTCTAATGTACAGCTAATGATGAAATGATACAGAATATATTTTTCAGAGTATTTTTATTAAAAAAATAATGAATTAGATAAATTGATTATATAATTACTGTGTATAGCAATAACCTTTAATTTTAAAGATTTTAAATTAAGGTTATTATAATCAAATTAGAAAAAAAAAATTTAGGTATTTAATTAGGACATTAAAAGCTAAAATTTATTTTTAGCTTTTCAGCCAAAAAATTGGAATATATGTAAATTAAAAGGGCAAACTAGCTTACAATAGTAATTTTAAATATGAAAACTCTCACTTAATCTCTTCAAACCAACTCAGAGTAAGTTCAAGTAATCAACCTACATGGAAATTTCTATCCTTGATGATTAATCAAGTCTTTTCACTACCTGTTAAACTATCTCCCAGCAAAAACAAAGGAAAAGGAAATGTTGCTTAGTTCAAACCACTGGAAGGAATGGATAAAGTTATTTCCACTTCAAGATCTCAATAATAATAATAATCAAACTTTGCTGAATCTAAGTATGAAACATCTCATTGAAACTGCAATGAACTCAGATGTGCATAATTTGAGGCATCTTGATTCACCAACTGCTAAATCTCATATATAACCTACAATATTGTAATATTGTTTATGGGGATATACAAAACAAAATTTTTGTGATATACATTATATAAAATTAATATGAAACACCACACACTCTTCTAGCAAATAATGTGTATTGAAATCAAAATTTCAGGTAATTCAGAAATCAAAATTTCAGCCTGCATCAGGCCCCAAGAGACCAAAAAATACACACATACATATAGAGGGTGTATCAGAATGACATTTTAAAAATTTGAGGGATTGTAGAGGATGAAATTTTGAACATTATGATATAAGGAACCCATAGCCGGAAATATGATATAAAGTTTCTATAGCATTAGGAAGTGCTTGACTGCCCTTCACTTTGGTAGCTACCCTTCCGTCCATAGACGTCATGTTATTGTTCTTGACTTCTTCCTCTGGGGTTATGTAAAGTCCCTTGTGTAGGCAACACCTGTAGGAACAGTTCATGAGCTTACAGAGCACATCTTTACAGCATTTAATACCATCAGAGGGGAACATGGCATCTTACAGAGTGTCGGACAAAACATGGTTCATCGTTGCACATTATGTAACGAAGTTGGTGGTCGTCACATTGAACATTTACTCTAAAATAGTGCAGCCACTGATTCGATGTACAGTTTGACAGTACTCTACTGTTTTGTCAATAAAACTTGTCATAAATACTGTATTCTGCTGTTTCATTCAGCGTACCGACTGCAAAGTGCTGTAGAAACTTTCTATTACATTTCCGGCTATGGATTCCTTATATCAAAACATTCAAAATTTCATCCTCTACAATCCCCCAAATTTTTAAAACGTAACTCTTATACACCCTGTATATAGGAAGTAAAAAAAATATATATGTTATTTGCTGGAAAGTGTGTATGGTATTTCATATTGATTTGCATATTTTGCAAAGGTTCCTGCTTTGGCAACTTGTGTACAGTATATCAATTAGGTTTAATAAAAATAAATTAAATTTATAGTTTTAAAACAAAGTTGGTCTTCTATCCTTCCTTTCCAGAATGATCATGCAGCACTTATATGGGGAGGTTTTACTTTCCTACAGACATGTGACCAAGTTTATCAGTTCTCTAAAAACTGAAAGGCATTATCCTGACAAACAGGCTACCTTACCTCAATATAGGGACACTATAGTCATTTAAAAAACTATAAATAGGAAATAGGAACAATATAAAGGCTGTATCAATAACATACAATTAAAATCATTTCAAATAATAAAATATTTAAAAAATAATAATCTTTGTGAATTACGTACGTTCAACACATCTGCATCCTTGTTCCAAAGCTCTGATGTAACCTTCTACACTGCTCTCTCCAAGTAATTGATCAGCAATCAAATACCTAGAATTTTTTTTTGCTTAGTTTTTATTTAAATTTGAAGTTCAAAAAATGTAAATATAAATTCAATGATTAAGTCTATTCAATATAAAAAGCTTCAGAAATACATAAATTGGTATAATTTATAATTTGATAAAACAATTATTTTTTGAACTATTTTAATGTTTATTAAATTTAGTTTTTCTTTTAACAAAAAGTTATTTAAGTTAAGAATAATTAAAAATACAATCATTGATTGCCACTAGTTTCATAAAAAATTGGCTAATGAAATAAAAATTTTGAAATGAGTTCAAATAGTCACAAATAAAATTTGAACTCTCACTTATATTTGGAAACTTCTATGCAACTGTTACATACTCGTATATAAACCAATGGTATATTGAGACTGAAATGCCATTCTGGTACTTGGTTCAGATGTGGAATGAATCCCAAAATATTTTTGTATATACATACAAAATCTATAACTTATATATTTAGAATTATAGATACAATTAAGTAAATAAGATTGTAGCATCTGTTCATGGGCATCCACAAAAAATTTTCTAGGAGGACAAAGCTTGGAGATGAATAATTACATGAATAAATTTTTTAGTTTTTGGGGTTTTTTTTTTTCATAAGTAGGTTATAGAATATACTATTGCATCATTACAAAAGACAAATAAAGTGTTTCATGGTCAAGGTTGTAAGGCCTACTGCTCTGGGGGACTGGGATTGCATCCAGGCTGATAGAAAAAGCCAAGAAATATTTTGAGAGTGATCCATTACAGATATGTCAGGCCTTGTCCCTCACCATCTTGTCACTCCTGTGTGGGCATAACTGAATGCACAATGGGTCTGAAAAAAACCACACACTTACTACTGATAGATGTAAAGATAAATTTTCATGGAAATATAAAAAAATATAAAAAAATTTTCATGGAGTCAGGTTTTGTAAAACAATTTATACAAATGACTAAGAAGAGGGATTTTATAATGTCCTTTTGCAATTTGTAACTTCTAACTAACCCAGTCAAATTGCACAAACCCATCAAATTTTAGAATCCATGTTCCCAAACTTATTCCTTTTGCTGTATGTTTACCTTACATTCTCATCAAAACACTAACAGAGCTTGTTTGTTTTCAGTTTTAAAAAGTGAAAAAAAACCATACACAGCACAATGAAACAGACTCACTTAAATTCACTTGCTATATTGTCTATCAAAGCAAAAATTACCAAACAAATTTTAATGGAACAATAAGAATTTGTCTGTAGAAAACTCAAAACACATTTTCTGATCTGATTATGACCTGTTTAGGTTGTTCAATAATCTAAAAATGCAAGTAAAAAATTAATAAGCTAAAACTGATAGTAAGAACAATTGCTTCATTGAAAATATAATTATGGGTAATTATTGGATATATGGGGAAGGTACCCAAATTGACTTTTGTAGCTAAACATTTAAAACATCCTATATGTAGGATATACTTAGAACTTTGCTTACATTGAAAAATCAGGAGTAAAAAATAATTTAATAAAAATAGAATGAATCTTTGCATATAGAAAATTAAAATGCTTTTATAAAAGAAAAGTACACTTCATGTCAACATTTAACTTTATAACATAATTTCACTAGCGTGTTGTGGCGTTACGAATGGCGACCTTTAGCAAATAAAAGAGTTCACAAGCACTTTCGAATAGCATAAAGCTATCATCATCAGGTGAAGAATTGAATACAACTGTTTCCAACTTTGGAACACTCAAACAGCTTATGGAATTAAAAAAAAGCATGTGGATATAATATCAATTTGAATTTGAAATAGAATAAACTTCAAAAACTCTTGATCAGCCGTATGAGTATTGTAATATCCAAAAGTGTGTAGTGAACAATAATAATGTACTAGAGAAGTTGATTAGTTTACTTAAATAATGTCCATATTTGTGGGATCTCAGTAGTAGTGTTGCATCGTGTTAAGACCGAGATGTTAAAGGTTCTCCCAAATAAATAATTCTTGCTGATTGTTACACTATTTGAGTAATTTTGTTTGGGCCCAGAGTGGCTGATAATCTTGCTCAAGCACTTTTTTAGTTAATGTGGTTGACCGTCTGTTGTTTCTGATATCATCCTGTTGTTCTAGGATGCAAGAAATTAACTTTCTGGCCATGGCCCTTATGTAGCTAGCTGGTCTCTTCTACTGATAAATCATGTGTTAGTGGTATTTAAGACCCCAAAATTTCATTCAATTTAAAAATATCTCTATCATTACATAATAATCTTCGTAATGTTGGTTGTGTTGTTAACGATAATATAAAACCATTCATTCTAAAAAGGTGTACTATTTTTAGAAAAACGGGGCCTAAAAACAGAATCAAGGGATGTACTATTTTTAGCTCCTTTTTGTTATGAAGAAAAGACTGTGGAAAAAGCTTATTTTTAACACAATTTTGGAGAAAACAGAATTTAGATTGAGAATAACCAGCTTTTTGCATAGCACTACTAATGAGTTGCAATTCTTCTTCTACTAGCACTTGGTTGGAAGGTAGGAGGTAAGCTTTCCTAATAAGGAAAGTTATGGCAGAGTTCACATAGTTTATGGGTTGGAAGGCTGTTGCTGGGATAATTTGTGGTGCATTATTGTTATGATGTACAGAGAATTTTGACATTTGCTAAAGGTCACCATTCGTAACACCACAACACGCTAGTGAAATTGTCATATAAAATGCTTTTATATGATAATTTTATAATTGATATATTTTCTTGTGAATATTTATAAAATCTTATGTAAATAAATAAAGTTAATGTAGTATAAATTTTTTATTAAAATAAATTACAATTTAACTGTATTGCAAAACTGATTCATGATGATTTTAAATATACTTAACTGGATGACCAAATGGTTAAGGGGATCCCAGAATCAAATCAAGACAGGTCAAAAAATCTTAGGAATTTCTCTCATTCCAAATATATTGGGTCTTGTCCCACACCATCCAGCCATCCCATTCTGGGCTTGGCTGAACTCATAATGAGCTTATTAAAACAAACCCTCATAAATGTTTTCTACCATGTGGGCACTAACTATATATAATGTGGATTAAAAATGTACTTACGTGTTATGAGATGAAGCAATATAATAGTGACTTAATGGTTGACTCATATCTTGACAAACAAAATTGTGTTCCGGTGATAACACAGAATGTTCTTTTGATAGTAACATCTGGATAAAACCTGCATAATTCTAATTTTATAAAAAATGCTTTCATTGAAATTAAAATTAAATAATTAAAAAGTTATATTTGAAAAATTAACTTGGTCCATATCACACCTCTAACTGATAAATATCCTTCTAATTTGCTTTTGTCTGGTTCATAACGTTCGATGAGTTGTTTGCAGTCTTCCAATGATACTTTTGTCATCTGAAATAAATAACTTTTTACATAAATCTTAAGATACTACATTACTAAGTATCATTCGTATTAAGCAACTTAATGTAGTTTTTCTAAACAGTAGATTGCAGACTTCTCAAAACTTTTAGATCAGGCCAACTTTAAAATGGCTGAAGGCAAAAAATTGATGTAATTGAGGGGCCAAAATTTAGAATTTTGTAAATCATCAAGAATNAGAAGTTCCCATATAAATATAAATAAATAAAGGTCAGAAATTTCCATATTTATAATTATATAAAGAGAAGACTGTACAAGAAAAATATATGATAAATTTTGAGTCTAAATTAGCAAAGATGCAATCTTAATTTTTTGTATACATTTCATAATAATGTGAGGACCCAAACAAGGTCTGAAGGAGGCATTCAACAACTTTTTAAATGAATCACGTTTCATAACGTGAAAGAATGAAATCAAAGGTCTGAAATAAACAATGAAAGTTTTTTTTGTTACAAGATTTAAAACAATAGTTAGATTAATGTCGAGGAAAACGAGGCCGGAGAGGAGTCATATTCGGTCTCAAAGTTAACCTCTCCCGTGCCCTTCAAAGGGTTTCGAATTGTCACCATGTGATGATGAGAGACCAATGGAGGGGCAACTTCAGTTAGAAAATCCATAAAACCGCACTTTCAAGGATATAAAAAGTTCTTGGTCTTGGATTCAAAACGTTCCTTTCACAGAATTTTCATGCTCCCATCCCAACATTAGAGAAAGCAGAATCGACAGTTTGAGATTGACTTTGACGTCTAACCCAGAAGGTCGCCCAGGTGATTCCCAAGGATGACCATCCTTTCCAAATGTGCAGTGTACCCCCTGGGCTATCGCTCTCCACATCGATTCATCGGTACCTCATCGTTCATATGAACAATTGACTCTTTTTATAGTATGGACTGGTTTGCCCTTCGATAGGCATTACGCTGATTGTAAAGAGTAGCTGTAAGCATCATTCAAATGGTTTACGATGGAAACCTGTCTCAGTGAATCCTAACACTCCCACACGATGGAGTTGATTGCTTGGCTGTCGGAAAACTCCTCACCCCAATCAGCTAACCTCACAATAATAATACTCCCCCTATTCAAAAACTTACTGGACTGATGTATAAATATGATACTGAAAATGTATGAAATATTGAAAATGTACTATCAGATAATTAAAAAAAATATTTCTTTACTTACTGTGAAGCTTTAAATGCAGATTGTCTAATAGCATCCAACACATCTCTAAATAATATTCTAGTAGTAAGTGTATAACCATGATAAACAATTGGCTCATCATCAGGTCCATCCCAGCAATCAACTAATGAATAAAATTTAAAAAACAGTTTTGTAGATATTCTATGAGTAAAGATTATAAATTAAAAAGCAATTTGCTATCTAGTTGCAAGTTAAAAATATTATAAATTAAAAACAACAGTTAAGTATTTTTAACATGATAATTATCACCTTAAACTAAAGATACTCTTATTAAATATTTGTATAAATTTTCTATAATGAAAAATAATCTTAAATTTTAAATGTTTGTAATTTAGTTATCTAAGTAATATTAAGTTTCAAGCTGTACCTAAGCTAATTTAAATTATATTGTGTTTTGAATATCTAATTCAAATACCAGTAATATATACTGTATTTTTTATTATTATTATCAACTTTATATAACATATACCAGTTTAAGTAGTTGAATTCATTTTTTTAGCTACACTAACAGTGTAATAGTAATTAAAATTTTTCTTTCTGTAATCAATTGTAAACCATCAGACTTAAAAAAAATTTTGTATTTGTATTATAGTATGAAGTATAAATTAAATGTTTGTAAATGGTACAACTAAACACACTAACACCAAAGATCCAACAGGTAGTAGCAGATTAGGTTCCTTTGAGGTCTTAAAGGACCTTATAACAAAATTGTGCACAAGTTCTTTTATATTAAAAAGACAATAAAACCATCAATTTATGAGTTATGTCACTGTTCTTGCCAGAGTTCAAACCTTTGAACATTCATTGAATTTTTAGAGGCACATCTTTTTACTATGTAATTTTTGAGGCCTCTTGAGACAAGAACCTAGGCAAACATCTAAGGCACATATTGGATAATCTGCCACTGCCAGTCAGACAAATGTGTTTGTTTATTAAAGTGTTTATGCTGCTGGATCATATATATATATATAAATTTATATTTATTCACTCAAAAATTTATTTACAATAGATTAGTCTATCAACCTACATCTTGAAATCTGATATTAAATCTGATATTAAATGTAAGTCTTATACTTTAAATATGATCTAATATATAACATAAATTTAGAATTTGATTATTTTATAAATCTCAAATTCTGGACTAACTAAATATGTAATCCAACACCTTATTTTTCGCTGAGAGATTATTTTTAATTAAAACAAACGTTTTCGATCCATTCATTGGATCATCCTCAGGCTAAATAGAACACTTCATAAATAGAACTACTCGTTTAAATATTCAAAAATACAAATAAACCGATAACATAAAAATAAATAATACTTGTAAATAATACAAATATTCAAAATAAATAACATAATATCATTACTAAATAATAATATCGTCTGCCTAACTATATAGAGCTTATTATTTCATACTAAATTTCCTGCGCTTTTTTTAAGCTTTTAACCGCAAACTTCCAAGCGGAAGGAAGACCCTCCGCATCTCTTGCGTTAATACATTTTTCTTCAAGTTTGCTTCTATAGATTTCTATCTTTTCAGCTGTTCTTGCCAATGCCGGCGAGTGTATCTGTTTCAGGATTTCGGCTTTATCCCAATGTATCAATGAACCTTCTGCCTGCGCCATCTGGGCCAAAACTGTCGCATTAGAACATTTTCTGATATCATATTTGTGTTCTTTGATCCTTAAACCTAGGTTCCTAGTTGTAACCCCTACATATTCTTTCTTAATTCCTAAAAGCTGGTTCTCGTAGGGAATCTTGTACACACCCGCCTTATTTTCTTTTCTAACTACCCCTTTATCGTTTCTAAGTATTTTGTATAAATTTGGGGCTCTTTTTAAGACCATCTTTGCACCCTTCATATTTGTGATTTCTTTCATAACTCCTCCTAAATGTTTGTTGTATGTAAATTTCGTGTATTTAGAAGGACCTTGTGCCTTTTTTATATCTTTATTATC